TTTGTATACTTGTCTACCAGAACTATGTCCCTCTTCTGCTTGAAACTCACCCATAGTTCACCTTCTAATCAGGGTCAAAGCCTAAGTTCTTACAATGGCCTACAAGGCCCTAAATGTTCTGTTTCCCAATACTGGTCTGTAACATCATCTACATTGACCCACTACATTCCAGCCACCTTGCTGGTCCTATATCACACTAGGCCTGCTTCTACTTCAAGGCCTTTGTACTTGCTGTTCCCACTGCCTGTTATATTCTTCCCTAAGACAGTGGTGGTTTGCTTCCTCATTACCTCATCAGAGAGACCTTCCCTGACTACCGTATTTAAAAGAGTATTCCTCACCCTTTCTGTACTTCTTAATTATAACCACCTGGCAATGTTCATTACCTAACTCCACCATCTAGAATATAAGATCCATGAGTGCAGGGACATCTAGGAGTCTGGCTTATACCACTTGTGCCTAGGACACCCAAACACAAAGCAGGCAATAATTGTTGAATTTAAAAACCTGCCATATATGCTTTGATTCACAACCCAATTGTATAACTTCAGGCAGCAAATCATGACTCTGTTCCAATAAAACCCAAACCAAAAGAAAAAATGGGTATATCAAAGCAGTCTTTTAGAACTTTAATCTTTGTTATTTAAAATCTGATCTTCCTTACTGTGAAAGCACTATGTCAATTACTCCTTTAAAAGGTTAACTTTCTTTGGAATGGATTTCTACAAACTATGTATACCACCCAAAAAATGGTTAGAAGTGTAAATTCTTAAATAGTTACTGGTAACAGTGACTAGGTCTTGAAGGGGAAGATAACCAGTGGATGCCAATGGATGCTTGTTCCTCAAAGGAAAATGAAATTCTTAAATGCATTGGGTTGACTTAACACCCAGTAATAATACATCAAACTTTAAGCTTCAGTGTTCAATTTTCATAAGACTAATATTCCGGCTATAGCTGTCAAGACAAATAGCTGACTCTTAGTGGGCAAAACGTGCCTTTTTTTTCCTTTTTTTAAAGTAAAAAGCAGGTTTTAGAAATCTTATTTGGGTGATTTTCGAACACACGTATTTGCTTTTCTTTTGGTTAAGAGAGCAATAAGTCGTATAACACTGTTAGCTCTTCCTAAGTCAATGCTCCCTACGAGGAGAGGAAAGAGGAAAGAGAAAAAAGGGGAGGAAAACACAGGGAAAAGTGAGAACAACCTATTCGCAAAAGGACAGGCCAAGAATATAACAGGCACTGGAAACGGCAAGTTGTAAGGCATCTTCTCAAACTGCAGATTTCCAGGAGGCTAATTTCAAACTAACCGGGAGGGATAGGTAAAATCCAACCCTCCAAGTGCTGTTACGGCAGACCATCCGGAAGCAAATGCTGGCTGCACTCGGGGGTTCTTTTCGTTCCACTCGTATCAAGTATCTCCACGCCACTCACCTTCGTTCTAGCTGAGCACAAATCACATTAACCAGGGAAGTTGGAGGGAATAGGAAACACCCATACACCCTTTACCCCCGGGCTGTAAAATGCGGTCCTTGGAATCCGCCAGCGGCTGAAACCCGGGAGTCACTCGAACCTCTCACCCATATTCTCCCTGCTTTCTAAGGCTGGAGAAGAGAGGAATGCCACAAAACAAAGCAGGGGAAGAGGGAGCACCTCCTTACCTTGATGGCTTTATCCATGTCGCTCTCCTCGGACATGCTCCGCGGTGCCCCCGAAGCCGGGAGCGGCAAAGACTGCGCAGCTGCCCAGTCCCCCCGCTGCCGAGGGAGCAAAGGGCTCGGAGCTGGGGCCCCTGGGCCTCGGGGGGACGGGCAGCAGCCTCCCCTGGGGACCGGCGGGGACGAGGGCTCTGGCGCCGGCTCAGCTTCGGCGGGCGGTTCTAGGCGGGCGGCAGCAGCGGCAGCGGAGGCTGCGGCCCCTGAGGACAAGCCTTTGTGCTGGGCCCCGCGCAGCCGCCTCCCAGCCTCATCCCCGGCCGGGGAGGAAAGCTCCCGGGGCAGGGCCAGACGGGGAGGGCCCCGGCTCGGGGCGCTGTGCAGGGGCCTTGCAAGGCCGCCGCTTAGGCCCGGGCTCGCCAGGTCCTAAGGAAGAGCCTGCGCCTCCGCCTCCGCCGCCGGCACCGCCGCAAAGCCAAAGCCGAGCCTGCCGCCGCCGCCGCCGCCGCCGCCGCTGCTCCCGCCGCCGCTTCAGCGCCACACATCGCCGGAACACCCGCGCCGGGCAGCCCCGCCGGCCGGCAGCCTGCCTGCGCTTTGCCCCGCTGGAGCTCCGGGCCGCCCCTCCTGCTGCCCGGCTCCTTGACCCCACGGCTTCACACGCCCCTCGCTGCCTTCCGCTGGGGTTTCTGAGCCGCCCCGAAACTGCGCACCTGACTTGCAGGCGCCTGCCTGGGCCTCCCCAAGGCGCGCTGCACACAGGACAGGCCCCCTGGGCCTTCCGCTACCGTGGCGCTGCCCTAATGACGCAATGGGGCAGGGCTCGACAGGGCAGGGCCATTGGCGGTCGCCACTGGACACGTGAGGCTGCGCGAGCGGGGGAGCCTCATCCTTTATCTGCGCGCTGCTGTTTATACCTACGGAAACTCTCTTCGGAAAGGACCCATGGAGATCGTCCCTGGGTAGAAAAGAGGGAACTGAGGCACCGAGCGGTTCCTGCCATAAGGGAACAGAATTGTGTGTAATATGTAATATCGATAACAACTCTATTTATGGAGTGTTAACCTTACACGAAGCTCTTTTCCTCCATTACCTCCTTTCATCTTTAGAAGGTAGGCATTTAACGTTCTAAGGTAAGTATGTACTTATTCCCTATTTACAGATTAGGTAACTGAGGCTCAGAGTGCCGAACTCGCTTGCGCACAGCTGAGTAGTAGTAAAGCTGAAATTGGAAGCCAGGTTTGGGCTTCTTACACTACGCCAATTATATATCAAAGGACTTTACGGGAGCTTTTGGCTAATCACCTCTTGATGGTTCTTCTTTCACTTATTTACTGCACACCACCATGTGTCAGGCCTACTAGATGCTGGGGAAACAGTAGGAACAAGACACGGTACCTGCTCATGGATCTTTCAGGAAAATGAAGCAGATAATAAGCAGGAAAAAATGAAGTGCATGATCTAAGAAGAAAATAAACAGGATGCTGAGGTGAGAAAATAACTGGATGTGAGGACTGCTTCGTACTAGATGTCAGGAAAGGTGTCTCAGGAAATAATATTTAAGCTGAGATCCCTGAGGAATGAAAAGGAGCTAGCTATTGGAAATCCAAAGAAGAGATTTATGGGCAGATGGAACAGTAAGTGCAAAAGTTTCAAGGTGGAAATAAGCTAAATGTGTTGAAGGATCAGCAAGAAGATCATTGTAGCTGTAGTAGAGTGAATAGGAGAGTGATAAAAGATGAGGTTGGAGAGGTGGACAGGGGTCCATCATATATATGGACTTAGGGGGTCATAGTGAATGATTTGGATTTTTTCTTTTTCTTTTTCTTTTTCTTTTTCGAGACAGAGTCTCACTCTATTGCCCTGGCTAGAGTGCTGTGGCGTCAGCCTAGCTCACAGCAACCTCAAACTCTCGGGCTCAAGCGATCCTCCTGCCTCAGCCTCCCAGTAGCTGGAACTATAGGCACACGCCACCATGCCTGGCTAATTTTTTCTGTTTTTAGTTGTTTGGCTAATTTCTTTCTATTTATAGTAGAGACAGGGTCTTGCTCTTGCTCAGGCTGGTCTTGAACTCCTCAGCTCAAGCAATCCTCCCGCCTATCCCTCCCAGAGTGCTAGGATTACAGGCGTGAGCCATGGCGCCCGGCCTGGATTTTTTCTAAGCTATTGAAAAGTTTTAAACTAAAGAGTGATGTGATCAAAATGATGTTTTAAAAGATCACTCTGCCGTATAGAGAACGGAATGTAGGCAAGCAAGAATGGAAAGAGAGCTATTAAGAGGCTATTGGAATAATCCAGATAAGAGATTATTGTGATGTTTGAACTAAGGAGATGGTAGCAAAGATGGAAAGAAGATGGTTTGAGCACATGTTTTGAAAGTAGCATTGACAGAACTTCCTGAAGGATTAGATGTGGGAGGTGAGAATAAGAAATGGATCAAAGATGACTTTGATGTGTTTGCTTACGCAGTTGGATGGATTATGATGGCATTCAGTGAATGAAAGACTTGATTGGGGTGAGGGTGGGAAATCCAGAGTTCTTTTCTCTCTAGGTTAATTTGAGACATACCAGAGAATAAGTAAGTAATTGAATATTGTGGTGAAAACTTAGTTGTCCACGAAAATTATTATTTTCAGTTGGCCATACAACTATACTACATTCCTCAGCTCCCTTAATGTATATGTGGCCATGTGTCTGTGCTCTCCCCAGTGGAAAATGAGCAGAAAAGATGTACACAGTTTTCAGGCCTGGCCCAGAAAAATCTCCAACAGGTGCTCCTCTATGCCTTACTTACTCTGTCAGCTGGAAGTAGGTGATGACCAGAATCTGGAGAAGACACAGCCTCAAGATGGAAGATCTCAGCGTGGAGGAGAACTGTGTCTCATCTACCTGAATATCTACTCTGGACTATTATATAAGCAAAAATAAACAAACTTCTCTTGTATTGAGCTTTTACTTTATTTGAGCCTTTTTGTTTGCCTACGCTACCTAATAGGAATAAGAACAGTGATCCAGCAGTGAACTTTGGGAGAAAATTTCTAAATGACATTATCCATAACAGTTAGGAAACAGAAGGCACCTTGGATTCACTCACTCATTCATTCATTCAGTAAGAATTTAGCAAGTTCCTATCTATGCCAGCCGTTGTGCTACCTGATAGAGAGGAGGAAAAGACAGGTCTCTGCCCTCAGGCAGCTCTGAGTCTAGCTGCTCAACTTACTGATGTATTTTTACATGCTTTCCCTCTACCTAGAAACTTACTCTCCCCTCCCAACACACACACAGCCTAATTTCTATTCATCTTCAACCTCATTCTTAATACTGTGTTTTCAGGACAGCGACGGTGGCACACACCTGTAATCCTAGCACTTTGGGAGGCCGAGGTGGGAGGATTGCTTGAGCTCAAGAGTTCAAGACCAGCCTGAGCAACAAGTGAGACCCCGTCTCTACAAAATATACAAAAATTAGCTGGGTGCAGTAGCACATGCCTGTAGACTCAGCTGCTTGGGAGGCTGAGGCAGGAGGATCGCTTGAGCCCAGGAGTTTGAGGTTACAGTGAGCTATGATCACGCCACTGAATGGATTCCATTGATATGTGTACTGTGAAAGTGGCCCCCAAATGCCAAAGGAGCGGAGAAACCAAAGAATGAGGCAGACAAATCCAGTTTGTCAGTAAAGGGTGTTTTATTGGCGGAACTTAAAGATGGAAATACAATCTTGGGCAAGACAAGTAGATCTCCGTACCGTTAACTCCTTATACCATAGTGAAAGGGGTAAGTGCTCTATAAAAACAATTAAAGGCACCCCTCCAGAATGGGCAAGTGTGCTATGTGCATCATAGCCTATAATGTGTGATAACATCAAGGTTGCTGTGATCTAAAGGCAGGATTTATGGTGAGTGCATTATTTTTACACTAAGGATAGAAAATAAGAAATCATGAGGCACTCATGGGACTGGGGCTAACCAGAAGTCAGCATGGCAGATTAGCATCCAAGATGAAGTCACTTTTGTCTCCACAGTATGAAATATCCAGATTAGGTGAATCTAGGGAGACAGGAAGTAGACTAGAGGTTGCCAGGGGCTGGATGGAGAGGGGAACGGGGAGTGACTGCTTAATGGATATAGAGTTGCCTTGTCAGGCAAGAAAAAGGTCTTGGAACTAAATAGAGGTGATGCTTGCTCCACATTGTAAATGCACTAAATGCCACTGAATTGTACACTTTAAAATGGTCAATAGGCCGGGCGCGGTGGCTCACGCCTGTAATCCTAGCTCTCTGGGAAGCCGAGGCGGGCGGATTGTTTGAGCTCAGGAGTTCGAAACCAGCCTGAGCAAGAGCGAGACCCCGTCTCTATTAAAATTAGACAGAAATTAATTGGACAACTAAAAATATATAGAAAAAATTAGCCGGGCATGGTGGCGCATGCCTGTAGTCCCAGCTACTGGGAAGGCTGAGGCAGGAGGATCCTTGAGCCCAGGAGTTTGAGGTTGCTGTGAGCTAGGATGATGCCACGGCACTCTAGCCTGGGCAACACAGTGAGACTCTGTCTCAAAAAAAAAAAAAATAAAATAAATAAAAAAATAAATTTGAAAACTTACTATAAAGTTTCAGTAATCAAATCAGTGTGGTAGTGGCATAAGGACAGTCATATTAATCAGTGGAACAGAACAGAGAATCCAGAAAAACTCATACACTGATCAACTGCTTTTCAACAAACGTGACAAGGTAATTCAATGGCTAAAAAAAGCAGAAAGGCAGTCTTTTCAACAAATGGTCCTAGAACAACTGGATGTTAAAAAAAAAGAAAGAAAACACAAATTAAACAAAAAACCTGAGACCTTTATGTTATATTAAACACAAAAGTTAACTCAATATTAGCCCTAAATGAAAGAGGTAAAAGTATAAAACTCCTAGGCCCAGGGCGGTGGCTCACGCCTGTAATCCTAGCACTCTGGCTAAGGCGAGAGGATCACTTGAGGCCAGGAGTTCGAGACAAGCCTGAGCAAGAGTGAGACCCCGTCTCTACTAAAAATAGAAAAAAATTAGCGGGGTGTGGTGGTGCACACCTGTAGTCCCAGCTACTCAGGATGCTGAGGCAGGAGGATGGCTTGAGCCCAGGAGTTGAGGTTGCCGTGAGCTAGGCTGATGCCATGGCACTCTACTCAGGGCAACAAAGTGAGACTCTGTTTCGAAAAAATAAAATAAAATTATAAAACCTCTATAAGAAAACATAGAAAAATCCTGTGACCTTGGACTAGGCAAAGATTTCTTAGCTATAACACCATAAGTACAATCCATAAAATAAAGAAAATTTGCTAAATTGGACTTCATCAAAATTAAAATATTTTACTCTTCAAAAGACACCATTAAAAGTCAAAAGATAAGCCACAGATTGGGAGAAAGTATTTTCCCATCATATATCTGATAAATGACTTTCATTCAGAGTTTATAAATAACTCTTACAACTCAATAATAAGACATACAACCCAGTTTTAAAATGAGCTAAATATTTGAATAGACCCTTCACCAGAAAAGGTAACACAAATGGTAAATAAGCACATAAAAAGATGCCCAACAGCATTTAGTCACTAGGGAAATGCAAATTAAAACCACAATGAGATACCACTACACATTCACTCAGAATGGCTAAAATAGACAGACTGACAATACTAAACATTTGTGAAGATGACAGAAAAACTAGAACCCTCAAACACTACTAGTGGGAATGTGTAATGGTACAGTCACAGTGGAGAAGTTTGACAATTTCTTAAAAAGCTAAATATTAACTTTCTATATACTACCCAGTAATTCCACACCTAGGTGTCTACCCAGAAGAAATTAACATGTATCTTCACACAAAAACTTGTAGTTTTATCATTTTATTCATAACAGCTAAAAACTGGAAACAATCTAAATGTCCATCAACTGGGGATGGATATGCAGTAAAAAGACTACTACTTTGCAATAAAAAGTACTGTGGTTAGAGGCCAGGAAAACAGCTTTCCAGGTGAACTCTACAGGTCTTGGTGCTCACCATCTGATGCACACCTCCAAAAAGCAAAACAATGAACACAACACAACGCCACAGACCAAAAGTCTTTTATTTGATATAATGCTGGCTTGCTTCCAAAGGAGTACATCCTAGTCAGTACTGGTTGTCAGATCAGACATTTTCAACTCCAATTTGTATCAGTTGGATACGCCCAAATTAGTAGGAAGATTCACCAAGGACCTGTCAAGTACTTTGAGTGAAGAAAAGGTAAAACAATTTAAGAAAATTAGGTTGGGCAAGAATCAACAAGT